TGGAAATGAAAAGCACCTTCAATGTGCTCGTGCTGTTCACCAGCCACGTGACAGCAACCACAGAGCTTACAGGGCAGACGGCAGCTTTCTGTGTACTTGGGGTACCTTTGTGTCTTTAATACTTACAGCTTAATTTTGTACTTAAGTTTTGTGTGTCACTTTCAAAATATTAGTACAGGGCCAGTCTCACTGCTGGTGGTTAAGAGAGCTGGATCCCATGTGACTGACTATAGTTCATGTCCCAGTCCCTGTGACTTGAGAGATATGCCAGGCACATGTGTACATGTTTCCAAAATCTCAATAGGATGGAGAGGCAGAGAAGGGGCTGTGTGCCGCCATGTTGCACTGAGGGTGCTTCCCCCCCATTCCCTCTCACTTGGTTGCTGGTGAGTGCACAGGCCCTTGATCAATGAAGAAACCCTCAAGTTATTAGTACAGCTATCATGTCTCCCAACCAACTTTACCTCTACATTCACCCCCAATGTAAATGGAGTTGAAGAGTTAAATTGCTCTAAGTTTATTCAATCATAGTCTCTGTCTTACAGAGACTGATGAACTGACTGTTAACCCACCTGTTTCTTATGCTCTCCCCGTAGCACACTGTCATCCAGCTGCTGGGGTGCTCTTAGTAGTTGTGGGCTGACGGTGGTTGTGGTGAAGGTGACAGGGTGCTGTTGGGTAGCCCTCTGTTATAGTTGTCACAGACACTGTGTCCTTTTTTTCTTTTTCTTTTTTTTTTTTTTGGAGAGGTTTTCGCTATAGGGCGCGTGCGCTCGCCAGACAGACAGAGAGAGACATAGAGACAGAAAGCGAGAAATCACCCCCCAGGGGGGATGGTCACGCCGCAATCCCTTCTCCTTCATTCTCCTCTCGGGATCTGGGGCGCGCGCACACGCGCGCCTGGCGTGAGATTTAAGCCACCGGGTCCGAGACGCGAACCGCGGTCGACTACGTGGGAGTCCAGCGACATAGCCATTACGCTAACTGCTGGTTCCCACTGTGTCCTTGACTCTACAAAACTGTCAGATTTTGCCATATGGTTTAACCTTCAAATGATTATTATCATTTTGTGAGATATTTTAGTCCCCTCACAGGTGCTTTAGCAACAAGCATTTACTTTGGACCAAAACTAACCTGTTGGCCACAAGGTGAACAAACACGCTCACCCTGTGCACTGCAGCCTCGCATCCTTGCTGTCACTGTGTTCTTTTTAAGAGTCGTCAGGACAAAAGTGTTCAGATAAAACCTCCGCAAAGTGGTCAGAGAAGATAATTGGAAGATCGTGAGATATAAAGGTTTTTGAATTTTCTGTTTTAAAAAATGGACAGATCGGGACCAGCAGTTATCGTAATGGCTGTGTCGCTGGACTTCCATGTAGTTGACTGTGGTTTGAGTCTCGGACCCAATGCATTCTTTGTGGTCTCTCCCTCCTGATCCTACTGGACCTGAGGTTAGCATTTGAAATAATTGTTCTTGAAACTAGGTTTCACTTGGTTTGGGAGACAAGGATGCTCCCTAGGGGTTGTTGTCCTCGTCTTCCGCCTCTTCTTCCTCGTCCCTCGGCTCCCCACTCCTTCTCCTTCGCTGCTTTTGTTGGCTCCTCTCCATGTCCAAACACTGGCAGGACCTTCAAACATTGCGGTGACTCAGGGCTCGTATTTTAAACTTCTTCTCTCGTTTATGTACACTTATACTTCGGGTGGCCTCGTCCTGTCTCATGTTTTGAAACATCATTTAACTTACTCTACAATCTTTATCAGTTACATTTTATATCCCTGAAGTCAAGAATCATGTATCTTATTGTGCTCACTGTAGTATCTTCATTTTGAAGGATAACAGTTATAGCAAACTTAGTATGTCCAAAACTAAAATCCTGATTTTCTTCCCCAAACTGGCTCCATCTATGCACTTTCTAGTCCCAATATAAGGAACTCCATTCTTTGCTTGGTCAGGCCATAAACTTTGGAGTTATTCTTGATTTTCTTTTCACCCTATGTCCACTCCATTTTCAAATCATAACAACAGTATTATTTAAGAGAGGTTTTTGCTATAGGGTGCATGCACTAACCAGAAAGACAGAGACAGACAGACAGACAGAAAGTGAGAAATCACCTCCCAGGGAGATGGCCACGCCACAATCCTTTCTCCTCCATTCTTCTCTCGGGATCTTGGGCACACATGCACACATGCCTGGCATGAGTTTAAGCCACTGGATTCAGGACTCGAACTGTGGTCCACTGCATGGGAGTACAGGATGTAGCCATTACACCATCTGCTGGTCTCCAACAGTACCTTTTTAATAGAGTCCAACTACATCTTGCCATGGCTGTGGCTACCACTCTGGTTAAAACAGACTGCTCTCTCTCTTTGCTGTAGTAATTCTGACTGCTCCTTTGCTTGTATATCCTTCCCCTTGTTTTGATTCTCTACCCTTTCTAATAATATCCTCCACACAGTACTTTATTATGAAATAAACTGTGTTAGATGATTTAACACAGCAATGAAGTAATCCTTGAACTTTGTATTTATTTATTTATTTATTTTTTGGCTAGAGGGCACACATGCTTGCCAGAGACAAAGAGAGGAAGAGGAGAGAGGAGAAAGCATCCTCTGTGGGGAGTGATCACACCTCAGTCTCTTCTCCATCTCTTCCTGCTTTTAGGCATTTGGGAAGGCATGCACATACAACCAGTGTGTCTCTCAGCCACTATGCCAGTACTCAAACCATGTGTGAGCTCACCACTTTCACCACCAGGCCAGGGAGCTGGCTCAAAGCCATCCTTCTTGGTGACAAAGCTTTTTAGAGCAACAGTGTTAATCTCCTGTTCAGAGACTCCAAAGTTTCTCTAGCGCTCTCATAACAAAAGCTCAGGACAGCCTGTAAGGCCCTTCATGATCCTCTTGCATTCTCGCAATTAAACTCTTATCTGAATATTGACATTTGTATTCATTTACATATCCTCTGTGTCTGCTTTCACTAAAATGGCAAAAATGAATTGTGACAGAAACTCCATGGCCTGCAAAGCCTAGATTGTTCACTCGCTGTCTCTTACAGAAAAAGTTTACTGAGCCCTGCTCTAGACTGTGAGATTCTTGACAGGTTTTGATTGTAGCTGGCACCCAGCCCATAACCTGTGATTGGGCAACTGTTGGAGATGCTGAAAATACGCGAAAGATGGACAGGTATATAGATGCTCCTTGGGGTTTTGACCACATAACCCTGGTGTAAGTTGAAAACACTCTTAAGTCAAAATTTGTTTAATGCAGCTAAGCTACTGAATGTCAAAGCTTAGCCTCACCTACCTTAAATGTGCTCTCAGCATTTATATTAGCCTACAGTTGGGCAAAATCATCTAATACAGTTTATTTCATAATAAAGTTTGAATATCTCCTTTGGTTTATTGAATACTAACAGCGAAAAGCCTAATAGATGAATGAGTATTTGAAGTGCTATATCTATTGAATGCATATCGCTTTCACACCATCTTAAAGTCTACCAATTTTAAGTAGAACCATCTTTAAGTTAGGGTTATCTATATGAATAGGGTCTGACTGTGTTTTGAGTTTGTTTTTTTTTTTTAATTGTCAGCTGGCACGTGCACTAGTCAGAAAAAGCTCCCAATGGGGCAGTCACACCACACCTCCTTCTCTTCCATTTCTCCATCCCATTTAGATTTGGAGTTTATGCACGTGTGTGTGCACAGGGCCAGCATGTTTTTCAAGCCACTGGGGCTGGATTCAAACCATAGTGTGGGGTCCAGCACTCTTATCCACTGTGTGAGTCGGCCAAATCTCTTCTCATTTGTATTCTTTGGCCGTAGTTTCTCCTACTAGTTTCTACTTCAGCTTGCTCCTGAGTAAGTGCATGATCTTAGGACTCTTTAGAAGGGTGGGTTTTCCTGTAGCTCACTACACTGGGCCACTGCTGACCTGACTAATCTGTGTCATTCCTGTCTGCTCAGAAGTCTTGAGTGCTAAGCTATGTACCCTAAATGGCAAGGCTGCCTGATCACCTCAATATAATGGCAGGCACAAGCTGGAGAATATAGAAGCATGTCCCTGTTAATGCCAAAGCAGAGTTCTGATGAAAC